AAACCAAGTGGAAATGGGACAAAGAAACGTGAAATGGAACAAAAATAACTCAAAAAGGAAACATTGAACATCTACTAAAAGACGGAGGAACAGCTGAATGAAACAGAAAACCTTTAAATGGAACGGGAAACAGTTAAGAACAACAGATAAGAGTTGACCAGAACAAAAAACATGGGAATATGGAACAGAGAATAGCTGAATGGAACACAGAACTATTGAAAATGAAACAGAGAATATCTAAAAGATACTGAGATACCGCTGAACTAAAAGAATGGAACAGCGATAAGCTGAATAAACCAGCGAACAGCGGAATAGAACAGTAAATAGTTGAATGGAATTAGGAACAAAAGGAATGAAACAGGGTTTCAATAGTAATTGCCAGCGAAAACTGTATTTTTAGTAAATAAAATGTTACTACTCGTATCTGAAACATTTTTATAAAACCTCTCTAATATTCAAATGTAAAAAAAAAATAAATCTATATACTCTTTAAAACTGGTTGGAAAATCTTAAATATTTCCAAGCAAACAATTTCAAACATTTCCTTTCATTAAAATTCAAATGAATAATAAATGTTCGACATGAATACATAATAGTTTCTCTCCAAAGTTCGGAGGGGCTTATTAAAGTCATAAATAAATAATGTTTATGGAACTTAATATTATCAGAGACAATAGAAGTAGAGCATTAGCATAACATTGAAAATGGAAACTGGTTTCAGCTTAATTTAGGTAATCAGTAACCAGTGGCATTGAAACAAGTCAAGGTCAGTCTAAAAGGTTCTGAGAATGAAACAGTTTTATTAACAAGAAATCAATCTTGAAGGAATCTTGAGTATTCTTTATATATTTTCAAGTGGCGTCACCTTCAACTTCCCACTCAAGAAGCATTAATATAAAACCCCCCTATTTTTTCAGGTTTATTTCCATCACAGAGAAAGAAATCTAATCTCAACTGACTGAGTTTCCGAGAATTTTAATTGCAAAATGCCGCGGCGACTGATAAAGGAAATCTGAGTGGCTTAAATTGCATTTTCTGAGCATTGAAGAGCGCTGCAATATATGATAATAATAATAACAAATAAGTAATCCCTCATTAGGAAAATAACTATCCTTGACAGCAGGGTGGGTTCAGGTTCTCTCTTTTTCCAAGTGCTCACTAAAAATACATAAATATTTTCATTATTAATGTTTACCTCCTTCATGGAAAATCCCAAGCCCACACAGAGAAGCAAAAAAAAAATAAATAAATAAATAAACCCTGCATGGAAATTATATTTTTTTTCCAGCGAAGGAAAATAGGGAAAACTAATACCCTGGCAGCAACATTATTTTCATCTTCCTTTCATTATTCTGCTGCGCACAAGGATGGCAAAGGAAAAGTGCAATTCGCGGGAAAATAATACGAAACCTACACAGCAAAAAAAGGAAAATATATATATATATATTAGGAAGGTAGGGGCAGGAGGAAAACCATATAATTGATTGAAGGAAAATAAAGCCCAAGGAAAAGCCGTAACCAATTAGAGGAAAATTGTATGAAAAATGTAGCAGGGGGAACTATAGCTAAAATTGTTCAAGGAAAACTAATACAAATTTGCAAGGAAATGTAAGTCAATACTTTAGCTCTTTCATCTGTTTATATATATAAAAATATCTAGAAGAAAAATGATTTTCCAGAGAAAAATAATACTCGAAAGTCGGGCAAAGAATAACTAATAGCTCGTATTACTGAAAACTATAATAAAGATGAAGAGCTGCAAATTGGACAAATCAGATCAATAAAAAACAATTTAAACCAATTATAAATAAAGCAAGTTTAAGGCACAAAAAATAAAAATTTCAACCAATTATAGAGCAAATTTAAGACATAAAATAAAAATGAAAACAAAGGAAGTCAAAAGGAAAATGAAATCCTAACTAATAATTCTGATTTAAACTCGAATTTCTATATCAAAAAAAATATTTATAATTAAAGAAAAATACTGACAAAAGGCCGCAAGGGAAAATTATGTTATGAAAAAAAAGGAAAACAATTCCAACTGACTGCCCAGGAAATCATTTCACTTTTTCCTTCCACCTCAATGCAGATAAATGCAATTTGCAAAACCTTTTTTTATTATCGTATTTATTGTAAGCAATATTGACAGTCAATCTCGAGTTCAACTGACAGGTGGAATAATAATAAATTCAAATAATTCTTGATTTTAATTCACAATTATTAAAATTACATGTCCAAAAAAATATATATTTTTGACAGTTTGTTCGAAAGTATAGGAAAGTATATATATATACTTTATTTGATTTAAATTACCAAATACAATATGCTGAAAGCTAAATGTCATTTGTAATTATTGCCACCTGGTTTAATCTGATAATTCTGATTAAGTAGACTTTGAATTAAATATTTGAAATGAATTTTCTAAAGAATTTACTAAAGGGAAAGAGTATTTCAAAGAATTTCTCAAAGAATAAATGGAGAATATTATTTTATTTCCATTTTAAACTGAATACAAATATGATTAAAAATGATTCATCAGTTTACATTATTTTGTATTATTATTTACACAAAATTTGGGTTATAAATAACTCCGTTTTTTATTTAATTGAGTTTATCAATATAGGTTATTTTTAAACCCTTTTTTTAGGGTATTTTAATTTTAGTTGGAAACTTGAAACTAAGTGAAGGAATCATTTCCGACCCTATAAATCATATATATTCTTGATCAGCATCAACAGCCGAATCGATCTAGGCATCTTAAGAAGAAAAATAAATTTTTTTAATTTTTTCAAAATTTTACAAGGGATTAATCCATAAAACTTGTCAAAAATTTTGGAAAAAATTTTAAATTTGTAAATCTTTAAATTAAGTATGCAGATTTATTAACCTAATAAAAACTAACATAGAGCAGCTTTCCGAATTAAAATTAATGCATTTTTGGCCTTGTTATGAGATTTTTAAACTTTGATTTTTCGACAAAAATTGTCATAGAAAAATATCAATAAATATCGAATCAAAGAATCGATAACTGATGATCGATTTCCATTTGGAACCCAAATTTCTAAAGCAAACTGCAAAGGGTATATAAGCTTCGACTACCCAAAGTTAGTTTTTCCTTCTTGTTAGACTTTCTTTTAATACGATTTTAAATCCCAAGCAGGTCTTACTATATATCTTCTATATATTTAATTTTTTTAAGCATTTCCCCAACTAAATATAGTTCAAATAAATATATTAAAAACTTAAATATAACCTAATGTTTCACTAATTTCTTTTTAAGACTTCTACTAATTTTCCTTAAGTCTGACTGAGCTGATTTCTTCTATGCATTTTCTTTTCTTTAACTTTTCTTTAACTTTTCCTTTACTTTTTTTTTTGCTTTGCACTTTTTCCTTATACAGGAAATGAGCTTTGCGGCGGAAATTTGTTTGTGGGAAAATTCGATTTTCCGTTTTACCGATTTGCGGTATCTTAAATTACTTGAATTAAGAGTTGAGCAAAAAACAAAAACTCACCTGTGAATCGATGATGCACCTGATGGCAGGCGTTGCTGATACGCGGACATGTTGGCGGCCTGCTGCTGCTGCTGCTGCTTTTGGTGTTGCTGCTGCTGCTGCTGCTGCTGCTGCTGCTGCTGTTGCTGGTGCTGCTGCTGTTGCGTTGTTTTACTTTGCTGATTAGAGACTGATGATTGATGCAAATGATGGGACGTTGGTCCATTATCATGCTGCTGCTGCTGCTGCTGCTGCAACTGTTGCTGGTTGCTGCTAGCAACGCGCTGCTGCTGCTGCTGCTGCTGCTGTTGCTGCTGCAAATGCTGCTGCTGCGCACCGTTGGGTGTGTTATTGTTGCTGCTGCTGTTGTTGTTGTTGTTGTTACTGCTGCTGCTGCTGCTGCTGTTGCTGCTACTACTGTTGTTGTTGTTGCTGTTGCTGTTGCTGTTGCTGCTGCTGCTGCTGCTGCTGCTGCTGTTGTTTGTGGGCGGCGGAGCACCGACCTGCACTGAAGTGGAGCGTATAGCTGCTTCCATTTCATGCCGAACTCTTTTGGCTTAAACACTTGTTTTGGCGCCCAGAATAGATCGATTCAAAATTGATTAATGTGTTGCTGCTGCTGCTGCTGCTGCTGCTGTTGCTGCTGTTGTTGCTGTAGCCGCCAACAGCATTGCACTGCGACATTCTCTCCGGAGAAATGCCCCGCACACACAACAAAAAAAAATCAATTTTTTTATGTATGTCACTTGTTGTATTTTATTTTTATTACTATTTATTATTATATATTTCCTGGTATTATTATGTGGCTGTTGCTGCCACAACAGCACAGTTGTTGTTGTTGTTGTAGCCCTTTTTTTTAATGGCTCTGCATTTTTTATTTTTTTGTTGCTTGCTGCTTGCACTTCTTCTTGATGTATTAATTATTATTTTCCTTTTTGCTATTTTTATATATATTTATAAATATTATTGAATATTTCTTTTCTTCAATTTGTATTATTTCTTTTTTTTTTTTTTTTAATCTATTTACACACACAAACACATAGAGACACACACACTGCTGTAAGGATAAGGATATAAGACAATTATATAGACACACACACACACACACATTGATTGGTTTTCCTTCAATTCTTTTTCACAACAACAAAAAATACAAAAAACATATATAGATTTAAGAGTTTGTTTTTGTGCGTTTTTCTTCGTTTTTTCTCTCTCTATATATATTAATTATATATATATATATATTTTATTTGTAATCCCCTAAAAAACCGAACCGAACCGAACCGAACCGAACCGCACCGAAAAACACGACACTACGAATTTTTCCATTAATTAACAGCTTTGCACACCACTATTTCTTTTTTCTTTTTTTTTATATTACGCATTTGGTCAGTCTCTCTTTCTCGCTCGCTCGCTCGGCTCTCTCTTTCGCTCTATCACAAGAAACACACGAGGAAAAAAAAAACAACTAAATGTAATAGATGAGAAGCAAGTAAAGAAGTTAACTTTTCCGCCGATGTTGTGTTTTCGTTCGATTTTCAACCTGCAAAAAAAGTGACAGAAAGAGAAAAGAACACTTTGATTAGTTGAATTGCTAAAAATAAAGTAATAAATAAGGGACTGGGGGGGGGAGAGAGAGAGAGAAACAAATAACGATAGCAGGCATAGCAGGTTAGATGATTAGAAAATCGATAATGGCCATAAATATTCCAGTTGATAAAGTCCCCCAGACCGGTTTTCAGTTTCAGTTTGAAGTGCAGGCAAAGGCAGTCGCATTATCGCAATCGCATTATCGTCTGCCAGCGATTACGATTACGATTACGATTACGATTACGATTATATTTCTGTCATTGAATTGCCTCGACTGACTTTTGGTTATCGACAGGGAGCTTAAGGTATTTATGGCCAAAAAGTCCTTCAAAAATACATATATAATATAAGCCAATTCAATAAATTATCTAGAGGTGAAGAAAAATCAACATTTTCAACATATCGATATTTTTAGATTTTTATTTCTAATGTTTCAAAAGCAAAGGGTCAACTTTTTCTTCAAAATAAATTGTATAAAATATTAATTGATATTAATATTAGATTTTATATTTACTAAATGGAGATTTACTTAATTGGTGATATTTTACAAACACGATAGTCGCCAAAAAATATCGATTATTCTTAAATAGAGATTTTTTCTTGGTCTAAAAATATATTTTTAATTGATAATATATTTTAATTAACATTTTTATTTTCCCTTCAATGACAGTATAAATAAGTTCGATAATAATTCCCAAAACATATTTACATAGATTTGCAAAAGCCATTTAGAGTTCTCAAATAAAAAATAAATACATTAATCCTTAATCTTTAAATAAATAGAGGTGCTATTAGTTTAAAAAAAAAACATAGCCCCTAAATGTCTTATAAACAATCAAAATCCCAAACACAAAGTTCATTAAATTCCCATAATTATTTTGTAATAAAAAGCAATTACTGAAATCAATTGAAATTCAAATTCACAGCAAAATGAATGATTCAACAAAATTTAGTTTTTTAAATTGTTTTCTTAATTGAAGAGAGAAAAAAAAAAGGTTTAATTATTCCGGAAATTTACTCATACATTTTTTAACGATGTTTTGCGAATATAATGCTTAAGATTCTATAAAAAAATAATTATATTTTAAAACCAAAAAGGTTAAATATTACAAAAATAACTCTAGAATTTAATAAATAATAAAATAAAATTTGAACATGAGTCACAACATTTAGATTTTAAGGCTAGTTTATTTTTAAATTTTCAAAGCCCTTTAAGCGAATAAAAAGAAGAAGAAGATAATGATGATGTCCGATGATAATGAAGAAGAACTCATCAATAATTTTTCGCCCACTCATCTATCATTCGATATCAAACACACACACAACACACACACACAAGCACACTTGAGAACCGTACGAAAAGGAGAAGATGGAAACAGCTGCTGTGTGCTGTGAAATCCGGCAACGTCGCTACATCTTCCTATCTCTTTCGCTCCCACCTCCCAGTATATTTTCGGTATTTTTGGCCACATGTTTTTTTTATCTTATGCCAAACGAAATACTAAATACTCTACTATAAATACTAAACAAAAATTCACACTATCATGAAAATTGAGCGCACAACGAAAATTGAATTGAATTTAAGCTGCGAAAATTAAGCAAGAAATTCCGCAAAACCAAGTAAAATAAAAGTCCGAGCGTGCGGCAGCGGCGGTAAAAGAAAAGCACACACACACACAGGGGAGGGGGGAAACAAAAAAAGAAGAAAAAAATGAAAATCAACCAAGCGTCGCAAGCAAAGCAATAAAAATACACAGAAGCAGACAAGGCAACGTTGCCAAACTTCCCACAAGTGTGAGTGAGAGGCAAGACAAAAAGGAAAGAAACAAAAAAAAACTTAAGCACGCGTAAGATTAAAGTAGCGCCGTTGCCAATTTTCACCCAAAGGCAGGCAGCATGGCAAAAAGCAAAAGGCAAAAAGCAGAAAGCTTGAAAACAGCCCCAGTGCAAACAAATTAATATAAAAAAATAACAACACACACACACACTCACACACACACACACATACACGCAGCAAACACAGTCGACGACAAAATGCATGAAAAGGAAGCTTAAAAACTACATATAAGAAAACAAAATAACAGAAACAGAAGACACATACACACACGGGAAAAAATAAGAAACCAAAAAGAGAAACACTAGCAAAAAGCTGCATTATAATAATAATAATAAAAATACATTAAACACTGTTAAACAAATGTTAAACTCTAATTTTAAAAGCCAATAAAAGTAAATAAAGAAAAATACCATATTATGTTTTTCATAATAAATAGTAAACCCTTTTTCGCTCACTGTAACAGAGTGTACTGTAATAGCTTAACGAAAAAAAAACAACAACAACAACAGCAACAGCAACTCAAAGAAGAAGACGAAAATGATGCCGAGGCACATGTTCAAGAGCGAGAGCGCGACAGAGAGGGGTAGATGGCGTGTAAGTGCGATACCATGCGAGTGAAAGAGAGACCACGCAACACAAGGGGGCTCTGCGCACAAGTCAAGCGGAAGAGCGACTGAGAGCCGGCGGTGGAGAGCGAAAGGGATTCCAACCTACAACAAATAAACGACCCATCGAAGCAGTAATGGAGCAACGACTAAGAAGAAGCAGAAGCAGAAGAAGAGGTGAAACGGGGTGGAGAGGGGGGGGGGAGGTGTACAAGCAAACGCTAGAGGATGAAAGAGATGGAACAGGAGGAGAGGCCACTGCTGAGGTTGAGCAAAAACAGAAAAGGAGAACACAGCAGCGGCAGCAGCAACAACAACAAAACGCGGGAACTTTTATACAGTCAGCAACAGCAAAGCATGTCCACGTTAACACACAGTGGGTGCCAAAAAAAGGAAGTAATCATTATCAAATACATATATTTACAAAGTAAATATTATAATAATTATATTATTTTTCTAAACAATTTTATTTTAATGCATATCTATTTTTTTTATCAATTATCATTTACAAAAATATTAAATTAGAAACCTTATCACACTTTATTTGCAGTCAGTTAAGTTTTTTTCCCATAAATTACTGCAATTTAGACAGGTGCTATAATTGCGTAAATATTGTAATAATTATTATAGTTAGTAATATTATTTTTCTATTAAATTTTTATTTTATTTCATATTTATTTAGTTTTAATAAATTATCATTTAAATAATATTAAATTAGAAACCTTGACACACTTTATTTGCAGTCAGTTAACTTTTTTTCCCTTGGCCAAAACATAAATTACTGCAATTTAGACAGGTGCTATAATTGCGTAAAAATTGTAATAATTATTATAGTTAGTAATATTATTTTTCTATTAAATTTTTATTTTATTTCATATTTATTTATTTTTAATCAATAATCATTGAAATAATATTAAACTACAGACCTTGTCACACTTTATTTCTATTTCTTCCATTGACAAAACATAAATTACTGCAATTTAGACAGGTGCTATAATTGCGAACACCACTGTGCATACAGGCATACACTTAAAATGTACACGAAAGCAAACAGTAGGCGGGCATGGCAAATATAACGAGAGAACGAGCCGGGGGAAGAGGGGGGGGAGCGGCTACAGTGGGTGGCGGTGTGTGGGGTGTGTGCAGGGGAGCCAGAGACATCGTGCGCAGGAACGCTTGTCCTAGTGTATGTATGTGTGTGTGGGTAAAAGAGTGCGGGTGACGCAACAGCAACAACAAGTGCAAGGCGGCAGCGCCGTTGGCAACTGAATACCTCACACACACACACACACACATGCACACAACTAAAACCAGACGCACACAAACAGACGCGCAGACATAAAACTCGCAACGTCATAAAACGAATCGAACAACAAAGCGACCAAGCGACTAAACGACAAACAACGGTACGTCGGAACGTCAGACAAGGCGACGGTCGCAACGAAACGACGAACTCACCAACCAAAAAAAAAAAACACAAAAATTCCCCACAGTGCCAGAGTGAAGGCAAGACAGAGATAGCGACAGAGAGACAGAGAGAGAGAGAGAGAGAGGGAGGGAGAGAGGTAGATGGCAAAGGCGAGCGATGGCCCGAAACGTAGCCAGCAAGTGCGAGCGAGTGAGGACGATCATGTTTTTGTTGTCTGCTGCTGCTGCTGCCTCGTTCGGCCTTTTATTTCATTTTTTTTTTGCCTTTACTCTTTTTCGGGCTATTTTCTTCCCGCTGTTTTCAGCAATTTTTTTTCAAGCAATTTAAGAACTTTATAAGCAACGCGGTAAGCTTTGCTTTTGTTATATTTTTTATTAGCGAAAATCAATGTTTAGGAATTTATAATAATTCAAATTTTTGGTCTAGTAAAAATACGGGAACAAAATACCCTATAATATAAGGAAAATGCATAAATTGTTCACTTTTTAATTATTTCTCAATTATTTTCTATTGCCCAACTATAAAAAATCAATTAGCTAAAGTTAAACTATTTTAATTCAATTTTATTCTGAATTGCTAAATGTTTACAAGTAAGTAGTTAAAGTTTAATTGAATAACCTCCTGAGCTCATGTTTATTTAATTTATTTAATTACACTCATTGTGTGCTTTTTCCCTATTGAACATTGTAAATTATTTACAATAATATAATACAAAATTTGGTAGATATTCCAAAAATAATACGATATAATAATTTTTAATCTAAACACGTTATAAATAAAATGCATGTTCCGAGAAGCAAATACTAAAGCAGTTTTATTACTCTTTTTTTTTCGTGCTTATTAATTAGCTTTGTGATAATCAGTAATTTAAGCATTTGTTAATTAAAAAATAAACCTGATACCACGGGAATTAATAACAATAAAGAAAAACCTGTGCACACGATTGTCAAAATAACAAAATAAACAAATTTAAGCTTTCAATTTGGCCTTGATTAAACAGAAAAAATAATAATAAATAAAAACAAGTTTCAAGAATTTACAGATACTTAATGAAATGTTTAATTTTTAAACTAAGGAGCTTG